AGGTCTGCTTCGTTCACAACATCATGACCACAGTCAGCTGGGAGTGGCCGAATGGCGCCAGCGAGGAACAGCAGACCAGCGTCCAACACGACTTCGTGCCCAGCATTCACGCAGCCTGATGCTGTTGTAAACGACGGCACGACAACACCCGTTGGAAGAGTAAAGATTTTAGGGTAAGGTGACACCATCTATACCGGCAGTCGGAGACCGACTCCAACGCAACATCCATTTACTTATCGGGATGGTACCAATGGATATCACTTCAACGTTAGGATGATAAATGCAGTCAGTGACGAGGTAACGCACATGAAATGCAGCGCAATGAACCCCTACTCAAACCGACTTATTATGCGACAGAACGTAAGTAATCCCCTTTTGAAACGCCGTCAATAGCTTCATCACTGCATTTTGGATATGTATGCAAAAATCGAAACGGAACGCCTGCTGCGCTCTGAAGAATATATTCCTTTGCCTGATGCTGTTGTAAACGACGGTAATACAGATAACGTTGTAAGACTAACGCTTTTGCCGTTCACGTACACAGAGAGTCCACGCCATATATTCGAGTACGCTCGAGGTGCAATTGCTTATGTTTGTCAGAAAGGGGCGTCCAGACCTACTCATTACATTCACCTGCAATCCAGCTTGGGGGATGTTTATCAGCTCTTACCTCCTGGGCAATCGACGGTAAATAGGTATGACATCACAGCACGTGTTTTCAGGAAGAAACTGCAATCGCTGATGAACTTCACGGTGAAACACGAGGTGGTTGGGTCTGTGCGCTGCTAGATGTATTAGGTGGAACGGCATAAGACGGGACTGCCCCATGCATATGTCACGATCTGGCTCTATAACAAGACCCCTTCCAACCAAATCGACGACGCAGTATGCGCCGAATTACCTGAAATCGACGTTGACAATGATTTGCATGACGTTGTGCCGAAGAATATGATACATGGACCTTGGATGCACTGAATCCCAATTCTCCAACCCCTCCCCCCTCCCCCCGGCATGATAGACGGAAGTTCCTTATACCGAAAATGATCAGCGGAAGACGTCGGCAAATTCGCAACCGTACGAATGCGAATCGGTGACATGGAAGTCGGTAACCGCTGGGTTGTTTCGTATTCGCCTTTGCTTTTAAAAGCCAACGTAGTTCATATAAACGTGGAACACTGCAATTTTGGGAAATGAATTAGGTACATTTGTAAGTACGTGAATAAAGGCAGCGACATGGCCGTTTTCGGCCTGCAACACGAAAGTAGATAAAGGGATGCGGACATACAACACAATGAAAGCGCACAGTATTGAGCTGGAAGATGCGTCAACGGCAAGAAATCCACGTGGAGAATTCTTCTATTCCCCATCCATGAGCGAAGTCCAGGTGTTGTTCGCTTGCAGTACAGTTAGAGAATGGGCAATGCATTTACTTTACCGATGCAAACGCGCAACAGGTTGCCTTAAGTCCACTGGCAACAACACCAACTGCGTTCTGCACGTTAAGCCAAAGTGACGCGTTTGCGAAAACACTGCCGCATTCGAAAGTGCCTACGTATTACACAGGGAATGTGCGTAGAAAATAATCCGAACAACGCAAACGAGGAGAGCGAGTGAACGGACACCCCGGCATACTCAAAGGAACTGCGATAGGCAGACTGCATACCGTGCATCCCAATCTCACTTCGCATGGTGTTGATGAATGTGCCACGTCCAACGTCTTTCCAGCAATTGAAGTCTGTCAACGGCGCTACGCACGCCACTTTCAGCAGTGCGTGTCAGGCTCTTCAGTTACTGGAGAACGATCAACAGTAGGACGTATGTATTAATGACGCCTGCAACATGTCCCATGCACATCAAATTCGTGCATTGTTTGCAGTCATAATGATCGCATTCTCTCCTCATCTCCAGCAGATTTACCGGAGAAATAGAATTTGCGTATGGCTGAAGATACCTTCCGTAAACTACGCAAAGAAAATTCAAATGTGGCTTGAACAGCAGGAATCTACAGCGAGGCGTTAATATTGATTGAGGATATGTACGCAGAAATCGCGAACAAAGTTCTTAATCAACTGGGAATGTCACCGCAAAACCAATCTGCTACTGCTTCGTTTGATGTGGATTGGCGCCATGAGCAAAATGAAACACGGTTCAACTTCTGCCATGCTTGCAATCAAACATTAACAAGCTAAGACTGGAGCAGAATGACATTTACGATAAAATACCGCGGAATGTCAGTAACGGGGTTGGAGGAATCTCCTTCCTAGATGCTCCGTGAGGGACTGACAAAACGTTCCTACTACGACCGATCCTGACGGCATTTCGATCCAATAAATGACATAGCCCTAGCACTTCCATCCCCGGAATAGCTGCAACTCTGCTACCCGGCAGAAAACCCGTTCATCCAGCTTCGAAATTGCCCTTGAACGCGCAAATCATTAAAGCTCTCGCGTGCAACATTTCCAAAGCATCCGGCATGGGAAAAGTACTGCAGAAATGCAAACGTATTGGTTGGGATGAATGCACAATGGCGCTAAAAAGCGCTCGAGGCCCCTGATCGAGCACTGCAGGATTTGCGAGGAAACAGCAGACCATTCCTGGTGCACTGCTACTGCTTGCAGGAGACTTCAGGCCACCGCTGCCTCGATCGACCCCGGTAGACGAAATAAAGGCCAGCCGTCACCACTTACTTCAGAATTCTCGAGCGCGACCGGGTGCAGCAAGCAATTGCCCTGCCTTCCACAGCGGCTAAAAAGACAATCCTGGGTTTCGCACACAATACGTACCGCCAACCGGTGGCCCTTACATTTTTCTTAATTGGGAACGTGCTCCCTCCTCTTTCCCTTATTTTCCAATTCATGAGATTGAGCCACAGCAACGCGTGGCGGGGTCCGGCTAGTTCGCAATAAAACAGGAATGCGTACTCGCTTATACCCTCCTCGGACTGATGCGCTCTACCATGCTGGTGGACGTTACTGTGATGAGCGTCCTCGTATCAGTATCGTTTACTTGACCGATGATAGATTCCCGACGCGTCTCTCCATGACTACTGTCTACGACCTTCTCTTCTTGGGCGACTGTGCTCTCAAAACCGCGACGGAACCGGATGTAACATGGCACGAGAATCTCTTCGCCTCTAGGTACCCAAACTGCAGGCCTAACATCAACAAGGACAAGATGCTGGCTGTGCATCAACCGTAACTTAACACTGAATGGCACTTCGACCGTCGATTTCAGAGATGTCCACTGTATGCTCCAGAGAAGAATGAGAAAAGGGACGGTGATTTGCGCATGAGTAGGCTTATAGGGATTGTAGAAGTGCGCAGCATCGACCGCCCACTTTCCTCCTCCTCAGTCCAAAAACAATGTTAAGACAGAGTCAATGAATTGCTGCACTTGAGGTCGACGTTGTGGACAACCACATAACTGCCACCATCTCTGCCACGGATCCCGCGACGATGGTGACGGTGACTACTACATCTCCTAAGCCCACCGCACGAGAGAACACTTCTGACATCCCGTCTACCAACACCCTCAACGCCGCCACAACCGCTAGCACGGCAGACCCCACTCCAAACTATCCAAATTACGATCGCACATTCATTTCACGCACCGGCCTGATCGGACACTTGCGGATCCATCGCACACAGCCTAGTAAACTAGCGTCTGGAGAACCAACATATACCAGTCGCCACCGCCTCAACTGTCCGTATTGCCCACGTGCATAAAGAACACGAAAAGACCAGTAGTGGGCCTACTCCGAGCGCCTTGTATCAACGCTGGGCCCCTCGCGAGAGTCTGCACGTGCGCACCAGGGCTGCCTGGCATTCGTTCACTCGGATTTTCAACCGACCAATCAGATTCAAGGTCGGATCAGACGTGGCCTGTCTTTGACGCACTCCCTGACGGACACTGGGGCCGCCGCTCACCCTCACCGTAAACAGTCTGACGCGTTTGAGTCTACCACATTGCGTTAAAGACCGTGGTTTGGAAAACTGCCAGATGACGGGATAACCAGGTCCTTCTTTCAGGACGGAAAGCCAAGCTGCAATAGCTTCTTTCTTTAATGGGGCCCTTATGGAATTCCCACTCAGTAGATATTCGAGCTGCATCTCATTTAGTGTTTTATGACATTCGGGTCGTAATTGCGTCAAATAGAGAGTGCAGTGTCTCGACTAGGTGCTAGTTTGCGCCGTGTCAGCCATCTCTGCCTTCTGCGGCCTCCGGCCCCTTAACTCTGCCTTGAAATTAGACGGCGACGGGCGGGGAGTAGAGGATGAGATAGATACAGCATAAGTCTGCCATCGGTATAAACTAATTCGCGCACCACTCACCATCCCTGGCCCCACTCTGCTGAGGGCAATCGGTGGACATCGTCGAAATCGATGATCTACTCACAAAATAAGGCAAAGCGAAACGGGCCCTCATGCCCGTAACGGGTCTGTGGAGTCCTTACGAGAGCAAACGTGTGAATTTCACGCGACCTCGAACACGGTTATTTCGAAGGTGGGCAATACTAAATGGTTCATAACTATGTTAAGAAAAGCAGTTGAGCCTCCATAATAAGACAAAAAACACCGTTTTCTATATTCACAAATAAATGTGGTCAGAATATTCGTGAAATTAAAAAGTATGCATGTGTAGTTTTTGCTTACCACTAACTTTCAGAGGGAAAAATAGTTATTTATCCTGAGGAAAATTGTTATTTTTGATCGGATTCGTACTCTGAATGGATCCTTCAAACATTTTTCGAATTTCTTTCTGGCTTTTTTTTCCAGACTGAAGACGGCGAGCGTCCAAAACACCTGAAGACAAGCCTGAAAACAACGGAAGACTTCCTCATCCAGCTCCGCTACAAGTATTTGTTAGTTCACTGGGCTTTTGTCCTGCTTTCTCTTCTTCATTCTATCGCGCGCATTATTTTCTCTTGAACACGCGCGAATTAGTTTATACTAACGGCAGACTTGTGCTGTACCCACCGCACCCTCTACTCCCCTCACGCCTCAACTCCTCGCAAAGAGGACTGGTGGGGACCAAGTTAGCATTGCCGGTGGTGGTGGTGGTGATGGTGATGGTGGTGGTGTTGGTGTTGGTGTTGGTGTTGGTGGTGGTGGTGGTGGTGGTGGTGGTGGTGATGGTGGTGGTGGTGACGGAACATCAGGAATGTGGTCGCCGGTGATGGAGATGATACTTGCAGTGGATACCGTGGGGTTCGCGACAAGGGTGATAATGTGGGCGTTTATGAAGGGAGCAGATGGGATTACCTGGTTGTTGTTCAGCTGGGCCCTGAGATGCATGACGAGGCGCGGAATGTTCGTCGGCAGCGTAGATATGTTAAGAGTGGTTAGGTGTTGACCTTTTGAGTCGGAGGCACTTATGGCCTTCAAGCACCTCTCTTGGCTTTAGCATCGGCTATTCGGTTGCCGTCGGAAACTGCTGATCAAGCTTTCACTGCTCTCCTGCAGGCCGGTCTGTCCTGGGTGATGTCTTCTCAGCCCGCCAGCTTTATTCGTAAGGGCTTCGAAAATTTCTTCATGGGGCCCTTCCCAGGGTCTTTTTGTCCTCCTTCTCGGCGAACATCCATAGAGGCATCCTTGCGGAAGAGACGTTTGAATAATCGTCCGTCGTCCGTCCTCACGAAGAGACCGTTCCATCGAGGATGCAGTTACCTAAGAATGGTGTGTATGCTGAGGATTCCGGTCCCATCCAAGCCTTCCATGTTCCTCAAACTTACTATTCTCCAAAGACATCTGAGATGGGATTGGTTGAGTTGCCTGGTTTAACTGTGGTAGACAGTCCGTGCCTCCACCTCGTATAGTAGCGTTTTTAAGACTGCCGTCCCTAACTTCTTGAACTTCGGTTTCAGTCGGAGTCCTTGGTTGTTCCGGATGCAGTCCTGCAGCCGGCCGAAGACCTGGCTGGCTTTGTTGATCCCTCGGGCCCTTTTGTCATCGATTTTGATGTTACATGAGAATGCTCCTCCGGCGACGATATGGCGAAGAACCCCACTCAACTGTCAGTAGACTGTGGATCATGTCCTACGGGGTTTATCCTGGCATTCATTTGCAGGTCGTTGCAGGCATTACACGGTCGACAACAATTACTTCCCATGACCTCAAACCATTATTCAAACTCCGTTATTTTCTAAAAATTTGTATTTTGTTTTTTACATTGACGCGCTCATTTCCATCGCCATACGAAAGCGTACGATAAGACCCTCGGCAGAAATCCAAACAATTTTCGTGTTTTCTTGCAGTTCCTCAGCTTACTAGTAAAACCCCCATTATCACCATTCTTATATACCATTGCCCATAGACTACCGACAATTAAGCGGGGTCTTTCACCTTACCGTTGCCGCGTTTCCTAAATAGGTGATATTGTCCACGGTCTTCATTTGGGTGCGGTTGACGGTGATGCAAGAGACGCTGTATGCAATGTTAGGTGACGGTTGATGCATGACCAACATTCTGTTCGTGTTGATCATTAGTTCGAAGTTGACTTACCGGCCTCAAAGAAGCCCGTGTTCCTTTGCATGTCCGCCTCTGTCGTGGTGTTGAACGCGCGGTTGACCGCAAAAGATAAATCGTGGGCAGCTGTCGTGAAGAGACACGTTTGGGCCCGCGTGCGACGGGTATTGAGAATATGATTATCGATCCTGTAGACGATGCCTATACCAGGGCACTCATCGCGGAAGCATCGATCAGTATGGCAGAGAACACCGGACTGAGGAGGTTATGAACGAGTACACTTTCCCGTTTCGCTCCACTGATCATTGAGGATGCGTCTAGGACAGTCTTTGACGTGCGCCATCAACCCGTCATGGACTTGGCGACCCTGTGTGTGAATCTTTCCAGACACCCGAATTTTCGTATGGTTTTCAACAGTCTGTCTCTAGTCGCCGCGTCGAGGGCGTTTGTCATGTGCGCAGATTAAATGTAGGTGTGCTGGCATCTCCTGCTACTTTTCATGCAGCTGGCGGGCGGCGAAGATCACTGTTGGACTGGACAGACTGGTTTATCTTCGAGAAAACTTAGACCTACTATGGTACATGTTTGCCCCTTTTTAAATGACCACAGTCTTGCTTGGAGAGAAATTTTGTCAGCATAACATGTCTTTTGCCTGTGCTGGTGGCTGGGCTGCGTAACCTTATAGAATGGCTGGTGATCCAAATCTTCGGGACCTGCTAGTGTCGCAACACTACTCCCCGTGTCCTGTCTGCCGAACTAGTAGCTATTTAAATCATATTATAAACTTGTCATCTTAGAAGTCTAAGGTGTTCGATGGCTGTCTCACTGAAATAATCCAGATTTCAAAACAGATAATTTTGGTCCAATACCCTTACACCGAACTGCTTGTTCAGTTGATCGTCCACATCTCATTGTATGAATTGCCCTAAACGCTATCGCACCTTTCTTCTCCATCTTCTCAAATCTCTACGATTTGCCTATTAAGTCAAGCGCAGTATTTGAGATGCCGTTGTTGTAGTTCTCCACTCGGCTTCAAGACACCTACACAAGGATTTTCATGCGTAGGGGTGTGTATTTAAAAAAAATCATACTGCTTTCAGTAGTGTTCCACGCCATCTGTTCTTTAAGAAAACATCCGGGTGCGGCTGTTCCGACTGGCTTATAAATTCTATTTTCGCTTTCATTCAGTTTTTTCAGTCTGGCATTCGGGAGAACATGTTTCTCCCTAGTAATTTTGGTGTCCTCCACGGTTCCATCCTACTTTCCCGCTTGTTTTCTCTTACGACCGATGAATTCTGATCGCCTAATCCCCATAAATCCTTACTGTGTGCTGATGATAAGGTTGTTGGTCAATCCACAAAAAAGAAGACCCGTAAGGATAAGTTATGTAGCCCCATTGGGTTTAATATGTTTAACTAACCACTATATTTGTTTTAGTAGGCATTGGTTAGTTTATTAATTCAAAGTTGCAAGAAGTCCTTCTTTATGTGTTATCTAGCGCATTGATATAGCCGCATGCACCGACTTGTTTCAGCATGGTCTTTTTAGTGATAAATTATTTAGCGTGCGATGGCCTTCAGTTGTAGCTCCCGCTCTACGTGATCCGACTTATCTTATCTCGACTTCCTATTTTTCCCAATGTACATGCATTGCCTTTTGTTATCGATTCCGTGCGCCGTGACATTCCGCGGGAGTGGTTAGGCCTTTTCGTGCCATGTTAGTACCCGCCATACAACGCGTACTGTAAAGATCGCTGACTGCATGTTGGTTTACCTTGCTTCTGTTAGAACACACACACTTGGCTTCCTAGACATCTCTAAGTAGTTTCTTTTGTCCAAAACATAGGCCGTGACTTGTTTACTTCTTCGAGAATGCATGTGCGTAGTCCCTCACATAAACAATAATTAGAAATATTGGCAAAGTTGAGAGACCCGGGTGGGTGATTTCAGGAAAACGATGGACTCACTGGAACGGGTTTCTATAGGTGCCGACGTCTCGAAGGCTCACCAGCAACAGTATTATCTGCGAACCAATTCCTAGAACGCATAAAATGTCCGAAGTTGGAGCCATGGTATCCTTTGATAACATTTCGGTCTTCACCTCCATTCCACAGCAGCTAGAGATAGACGCCGTGAACCAACTACTGGTTGAACGTTATGAAAATAGGGCAAGCCTCTGAAGTCCGGATATCTGGTTGAGGTTTTGCAACACTGCCTCAAGACCTATTTCACCTTTGGTGGATAAATGTACGAACAAATTAGGGATACTATTATGGGCTCCCCTCTGTTAGGCACAATTGCTGAAGTAGTTCTTCAAAGGATAGAACATTCAGTGTTCACCAAGTATCAACCAAAGCTCTGAGCTGGCTATGTCGATGACACCTTCGTCACTGTCAAAACAACTGACATTGAGCGCATAAAGAAACTGCTGAAGTTGATTGACCCGGATATCCAATTCACGATGGAAGCAGAAACAAACAACCAACTGCCCCTGCTTGACGTACTTGTGCGTCGGTGTACAAATGGACAACTGCAATCCACAGTATTCGGAAAATCCACCGACATAAGACATACCCTACCCTTCAACAGCAATCATCCTCTGCCTCACAAGCGTAACTGGATCCGAACTCTAGTCCAGGGTCGAAACACACTGAAGCATGCCGGAAGATAAAAGAGCCGAACGACTGTACCTTCAGAACCTCTTTGCAGTCGATGGCCGTCCCGGACACTTTATCAAGAGAAGCAGGCGCCGAGTGCACAGACGACGGCCAAATGAGCAGCAACCCGAAGTCTGCAGGGCCATTCTCTACGCTAAAGGGGTCTCCGCAGCGATCTCTCGACTGTTACAACCCGCCAGAGTAGGCATATCACATCCACCCCACGCAACAATACTGCGCCTTCTGACGTAATTTAAGGACACGCTGCCACCGGCTGGAACGTAAGGAGTTGTCTACAAAATAAGTTTTAATGAGGGCGACTGCAACTAGGTTGGGTGAAACCGAGTGGAAGTTTCAGACCCGCCTACGAGAGCACAAATCGGCGGCTCGGCGGCTAGATCAAGACTTTCAACTCGCAACGCACGTTGGAGAAATTGAGCATATTTTCGATTTCCAGAGAGGTACCATCTTAGGCCAGGGCAACAAGAAAGTACAACGGCTCACACTCGAGACTTGGTACTCTGATACCAACTCCATCGGCGGACATCTGGACCTTTCTGCAGCCTACAGAGTCCTGCGTCATCACGTCCGTAGAGCCCGGGTCCAAGTAACCACACTGGACTTAAGATAGCCATGCATAGCCCGACGGCGAGTCTTCTCGGCGTAGAGGAAAGAACCACCAGACCGATCACCCGACTAAGGCTTAATCCCCCCCCCCCGACGCGGTGACTCACAAAGCACACAGATAAAACGTCCGCCAATCATCTCCCGAGAGGCCGCGGCAGCGAGAAGAGAAAAATCGATCAGCACGAAACCGAGCAACGCGACATGCCACTTGAAATTTCTGATCGATTAAGTGCATTTTACGTTCTGACAATGGAGAGCCGACCAAGCTCTTCGAAACGTGAGCACGTTACTAAACCCATTCCATGAGCTCATCTTTTCCCTCAAATAATGAGACAATTAAATTTAATTGAGATGATATACAAACGTTTACGGTCGGGTTTGGTCCTGCAGCCGCACTGGTAATGGATAAACGCGACTGCCCGTAATACGGGAATTGCTGTAACAGGGATTTTACGGGTGGGGTATTTGACACGCCAAAGAGAAGGCAGTAAAGTGGTAAAATAAAAAGGAGCATTTTTAGGTGACCAGGGAAAGTTTGAGAGAGGTG